TTATAAATGGTTATATATTTTCTTGGATATTTCCAGGTTTTGAAATATTATATAACAACAATGATCTAAGGGGAAAATATAAAATAGAGCAGAAGAAAAGGTAAACAAATACTCTTAATTTTAGTAAATTATAAGTTAGTCCAAATTCAAAAGAATAGTCCTAAATGAAGGCTTCAATGCCTTATAAATGAGGCCATTCATTCACAAGGTAAATACTCTACGAAAAACTATGAGTTTGAAATAAAAACATGCTTTTCAAATATTTAAACAAGTTTGTGACAGTAATCTATATCATGTTCTCATAACAGTTCTGAGAGCAAGAAAGGATCACAAAAGGCAAAACTCTCACAAAGAAAACTATCCATTCTTCAGAGAGAAACACAAAAGCTAGTTTTCATTCTCTGTCCCTGGTCAGTATTTCTCGCTCACATTCATAGCAAGAGTTTACCACCTGCTGTCAGCCAAGACCTAGATTGGGTATTGGGAATATCATAATAACAGATGAGAAAAACAAAACCAGGTGTTCCAAAAGCTATTTTTCTTTCTCGCAAGAATTTTTACAACAAAATTAAGAACTACCATATGCACAGCTATACATTTAGTGCCTTTATGTACTTTTTTTGCCTGATAAGAAATCTTAAATTATGTCATTTGCTTAAAGAAGGGGGCAGGGAGGAGAATTCTCACATGGACAGGAAGCCCTCTCCTTAAACCTCCTTTTAACAACTGAAAAAACTCCTCCTCTTCCATTATTCTTAGAGTTCAAAATGTAATTTCAATAATGATCAAGTAAAATCTTTTGGATAGGTACACAGGGATCCTACCCATAGAATGGAGAGCTTTCCCCTTTTGGAAAACAGTATGGACAATTCTCAAAAAATTAGAAATTGAGCTCCCATTTGATCCAGCAATACCACTCCTGGGAATATATCCCAGAGAGGCAAACAGGTATAGTCGAAGTGACATCTGCACTTGTTTGTTCATTGCAGCACTGTTTACAAAAGCCGGGATCTGGAAAAAAAAAAACTTGAGTGCCTGAGAACAGAAAACTGGTTAAAGAAACTTTGGTACATCTACACAATGGAGTACTATGTAGCTGTTAGAAAAGATGAAGTCATGAAATTTACATACAAGTGGTACAACATGGAAAGTATCATGCTAAGTGAAATGAGTCAGAAAGAGAGGGATAGACACAGAAAGATTGCATTCATCTGGGGGATATAAAGTAACAAAATATGAGATTAATACCCAAGAATAGCTGAGATCAGCACCAGGAGGATTACTCCATAGTTTAGAGGCCAGCCAAGCATTCTAGGGGAAAGGGCAGCTCAGATAGAGAAGGGAGCACTAAATAAAGGGTGTTTGGAGGATCCTCCCAGGAGGGGAGATGCATGTTGAAAGTAGACTTTGGACTGAACATGATTGCCACTCAATGCCTCTTTTGCAGACCACAACACCCAAAAGGAGAGAGAGAACAAAAGGGAATGCTCCTTAGTTTAAGATAGTCCCATTTATCTATCTCTGTTTTCACTTGCTCGGCCAGTGGCGTGGCATCTTTGAAGATACCATTAGCTTCAATGTCATGGAGGGTTTTGCCAACTTTATCTTCAATGTACCTTATGGTTTCTGGTCTGATGTTGAGGTCTTTAATCCATTTTGATCTTACTTTTGTACATGGTGTTAGGCAGAGTTCTGAGCCTATTTTTTTGCATGTAGCCGTCCAGTGATGCCAACACAATTTATTAAAGAGGCTTTCCTTACTCCACTTTACATTACTTGCACCTTTATCAAAGATTAGATGAGCATATGATTGAGGAGAGATGTCAGTGTATTCAACCCTGTTCCATTGGTCTGCAGTTCTGCCTTTGTTCCAGTACCATGCTGTTTTAATTATTACTGCTTTGTAGTACAGTTTGAAGTTCGGGAGGTTGATTCCTCCCATTTTCTTTTTCCCAAGAATTGCTTTAGCTATTCGTGGGGGCTTATTGTTCCATATAAATTTCAAGAGTGTTTGCTCCATTTCTTTGAAGAATGTCATGGGTATCCTTATAGGGATTGCATTGAATTTATACAATGCTTTCGGTAGTAGTGACCAAAATACAAAGACAGTCTACAGAATGGGAAAGGATATTCACCGAATACACATCTGACAAGGGGTTGATATCCAGGATATACAAAATACTGGTTAAACTCCACAAGAAGAAAACATCCAACCCCATCCAAAAATGGGGCAATGAAATGAACAGAAACTTTCTCAAAGAAGAAATCCGAATGGCAAAAAAGCACATGAGAAAATGCTCTTCATCATTAATCATCAGGGAGATGCAGATCAAAACCACAATGAGATACCATCTCACACCTCAGAGACTGGCCCACATTCAAAAGAACAAAAGCAACCGATGCTGGCGTGGATGTGGCGAGAAAGGGACACTCCTTCACTGTTGGTGGGAATGTCCACTGGTTCAGCCCTTCTGGAAAACAGTATGGACGATTCTCAAAAAATTAGAAATTGAGCTCCCATTTGACCCAGCAATACCACTCCTGGGAATATATCCCAGAGAGGCAAAAATGTATAGTCGAAGTGACATCTGCACTTGTTTGTTCATTGCAGCACTCTTTACAATAGCCAGAAACTGGAAGAAACCTGAATGCCCAAGAACAGATGACTGGTTAAAGAAACTTTGGTACATCTACACAATGGAGTACTATGTAGCTCTTAGAAAAGATGAAGTCATGAAATTTACATACAAGTGGTACAATATGGAAAGTATCATGCTAAGCGAAATGAGTCAGAAAAAGAGGGATAGACATAGAAAGATTGCATTCATCTGGGGGATATAAAGTAACAAAGTATGAGATTAATACCCAAGAATAGCTGAGATCAGCACCAGGAGGATTACTCCATAACTTAGAGGCCAGCCGGGTATCCTAGAGGAAAGGGCTATTCAGATAGAGAAGGGAGCACCAAATAAAGGATGTTTGGAGGATCCTCCCAGGAGGGGAGATGCATGTCGAAAGTAGACTATGGACTGAACATGTTTGCCACTCAATGCCTCTTTTGCAGACCACAACACCCAAAAGGAGAGAGAGAACACAGGGGATTGCCCTGCCACAGAGACGGGGGGATGGGGGGATGGGGGTGGGAGGGATATTATCCATGGTGGTGGAAAATGGGCACTGGTGGAGGGATGGGTATCTGATCATTGTATAATTGAAACCAAAGCACAAAAAATTGTAAATCTACAACTTTAAAAAAAAAAAAATAAAATAAAGGGGAAAAAAAAAAAAGGGAATGCTCTGCCACAGAGGCAGGGTGGGATGGGGGAGATGAGGGTGGGAGGGATTATTATCCATGGTGGTGGAAAATGGGCACTGGTGGAGGGATGGGTATTTGATCATTGTATGATTGAAACCCAAGCACAAAAATTTGTAAATCTACAACTGTACCTCATGGTGTTTCACTAATAAAAATTAAAATAAATAAATAAAACTAATGGAAAACAGGCCAAAAAAAAAAGAAAAAGAACGGAGAGCTTTCAGCCTCACTGATTCTGTCCAGTGCTGTATGTTCAGTTTACACCGAGTCTGATCTATGATGAATCACAGAGATGAGAGGTGGCAACTCTAACACAGAAGCCAAATAGTTAGAGACCCTCAGAAAAAGGAAAAGCAGAAGAAAGAGATCTAGTCCAAGTTTTGTGAAAATAAATTTTACGATCCCAAGTGAGACAGGTAATTTCACTGCTTCTCCTGACTCTATGCTCAGGGATCACTCCTGGAAGTGCTCAGGGGACCACACGTGGTGCCAGGGAAACCACCTCGGGTTGTACACATGCAAGGCAAAGGCCTTAACTACTGTCCTCTCAGGCCCACCACTCCAACTTCTCTCTGCTCCTAATAAAATGCACTTGTTCATTTTGAATCAATGATCACCATATCATCTCTAAACTTTCTCTTATGGTCCATGCTGAGACCACTCTCCACACGCATGAAGGTACCGGTAGAGGAACAAAGGCATGCGGGTCCCAGGGCTGAGATCTCCAAGTCTGCTCGGATCGGGGCTGAGCATCCTCCACCCAGATCCTCCACCTTCCAGTAGGCAGGGGTCACACCCACCAACTGGCTCCCTGGCGCCGTGTAATCCCATCAACGACCAAGACCCAGAGACTATAAAACCCAGCTCCCGGAAGCGCATGGCCGCATTCGTGGCTCAGAGACATCTTATTATCTCATTCTTATTTTGTACAACCTGGCAGGCTACCGAATGTAACCTGCCCACACGGGAGAGTCTGGCAAACTCCCCGTGGCTTACCCAATATGCCAAATACCAGTAACAATGATGGGTCTCATTCTCCTAACCCTGAAAGAGCCTTGAATATGGCAATTGAATATGGCACTTGAATATTCAAGTGGTTCAATATCCCAAGCAGGCAAACTAGAAGAGCCTAACTCTACCCCACTAAACTCCACTCTCTGGAGCTGAGTGGGTCAAACAACACAGAAACTTCCGCAGATCTACCAGATGAAGCAAGAGCAAGAGGGGTGGTGCTGATGAGACAAAATGGACACAGAGGCCTCCTGGTTCTTTCATATGAGGACGTATTCTGTAAGAGACACCTTCAGTCCACAGCTAACATAACAGAGCAAACTGTGTTCACCTGCTTTAGTACCTATAGTAATAGTTAATGAACTCTGAAAAGTGTGCCATTTTAATGACATACTTATTAAAAAGGAATACCCAGGGAAAGAAGGTGTCATATTGCAAATAAATTCCCATGACCAATTAGTTCTTACATTGGCACGCATCCCTATTTTTAAGTTAAAAATAGTCATAGTATATTAGACTGCTGACAAAAACAACAAGATTCTACTCGTGAAAATGTACCTCCTTTTGAAAAATATAGGAAAAGTTATACCCTCTTTGAAGGGTATTTATAGAACTAGGCAGTAGCAACAACTTTCCTGAAGACAAGGCTTTAGTAAAGATTTTAGAGATTTACCGAATTAAGTCAACAGCTTCCAGTTCCTCGGCCATTGGTAAAGATGTCATCTTCAGGAAAACAACATTGAAAGTCCTGTTATCCCAGAGTGCTGCTACCTTTTTCACCTCACTGATGGTGATGGAGACTTTGGCTATACCCAAGAACGCTTCCTGGACAACATCAGCAAGGTACTGCATGGTGACATCGCCAGCTAGTAAGAGGTCAATCTGTACCTGGAAAAAAAAAGGGGGGGGGGGGGAAGCAGCACATATTTAATAATGTGTGAGCAGAGTATATGCTATGCATGAAAGGAATAAAGATTACAAACAACAGGATGGTTTACAACAACAGGATGGTTTACAATATAATATTCCTCCATCTCTCTCGGAAAGCCCAGGAAGCTACTGAGTATCCCGACCGCATGGCAAAGCCTGACAAGCTACCCATGATGTATCCGATATGCCAAAAACAGTAACAACAAGTCTCACAATGGAGACATTACTAGTGCCCGCTCGAGAAAATCGATGAACAAAAGGAGGACAGTGCTACAGTGCAGTCCATTTTAAGTTCCTCAGAGGCAGAAACTTAATTCTCTGTTCTTAATACCGAGGGTGGGCTGGAGCAATAGCACAGCGGTAGGGTGTTTGCCTTGCACGCAGCCAACATGACCGACCTGAGTTCGATTCCTCCACCCCTCTCGGAGAGCCCGGCAAGCTACCGAGAGGATCTCACCCGCACGGCAGAGCCTGGCAAGCTACCTGTGATGTATTCGATATGCCAAACACAGTAACAACAAAGTCTCCAATGGAGACGTTACTGGGCCCACTCGAGCAAATCGATGAACAATGGGAGGACAGTGAGTGACAGTTTTAATACCTAGGGTAGTAAACAGAGTTGAAGGTCAAGCTATTTTTTCAAACTTTTGCCTACAAACTCAGCCATAGTTCTCCTGCACATTTCTTTCTTGTCCTATGAAAAACAGAACTGTTTAAATTTTTTTGTGTGACTAGATAGTCAAAAACCATGACCCACTTTCCCAATCATACATCATGCTGGAAAATCTATTTACTCAGAACAAAACTGTTAACTCTCCCACATCAAAACATTAATTTTGATGAAACACATTCCATTCAATAAAATAATGAAAGACTTAAATTCCTAAATCTGAACACTGAATTTCCTTTCTTTGAATGGATCATACATGCTATTCAAACAAACCACAGCATTAAAGTCAAAAAAGGCTCTCTGTTTCCATTTGGGCATACTTTCAAGCACAATCAATTAGGAAAATAAAACTTCTATCTTCACCTTTTATTTCTCTATATTTTACTCCCTACTGCTATTAAACACAATCCACTGAAAATGTCAGAGAATGGGGATGCTTGCATTTATAGAAACACTCAGTAGACAGGTGGAAATGCCAGGTCACAAGAAAAGTCAACATAAGAAAATAAACTCTGGATTTTACTGGAGTTGAAACCAAAAGACATAGCGAGAGGAGTTGAAAATGCCTTTATAAAGAGAATGCTGCAGTCAGACAGCCACTACACAGGGTGGGATGCAGACACAGATGTCCACCGGGAGCTTCCCTCCCCTTCAGCCTGGTTCTCTAGGGTTTCTGGAAGGACCAGGTGTGATGCAAAGAAATGGGGCAAGTTTGAAATAAGTTATGAGCCAGGGACATAGCTCAAAGGGCTAAGAGCATGCTCTGCACTGGGGAGTCCCAAATTTGATCTCAGCGTTCTCTTTTTGTTTGTTTGGAGGCTATTCTGGTGATGCTCAAGGGTTACTCCTGGCCCTGCACTCAGTAATCATTCTTGGTAATGCTCCAGGAACCATAAGGGATGCCCAGGACTAAATCTGGGTTGGCCATGTGCAAGGCAAGTGCCTTCAGCTCTACAGCCAATTCTCTAGCCCATATAGAATATTGTCTTTTCAAAGTAAGCTGCTTTTCTCCATTAATAAGTCAATAATTTCTCAGAAACTTCATCCTACTAGGGATATTTCTTTTTAATTCTCCAGGCAATTACTTTTATCCCCTTAAAAAACACATTCATTGGGGCCAGAGCACAGTGGGGAGGGCATCTTCCCTTTACAATCTTTACAACACCTTTACAATATAAACAGATGAAGATAAATCCTTCAGACAATGCAGCAAAAACAAGTGCTTACTTTTGTTTTTCAACTCAGATACTGCTAAACTGCTATCTCCCAAAGACAAAAATATACATCTCAAATAAGGTCCATTTCCCCAAATCTTTTAACTAATTGTTCATGCTTTTTCCGCCAAAATTGTGTGTGTGTGTGTGTGTGTGTGTGTGTGTGTGTGTGTGTGTGTGTTTGGGGGTGGGGGGAGGGAAGGGAAACTATCACAATTTTCCTTTTCTTTTTTCTAATTAATAGTGAGATTGAATATCATCATCTGCCTTGCACAGTCAACCCAGGTTTGATCCCCAGCATCCCCAAGTACCTCTAGGAGTAATTCCTGAGTGCAGAATCAGGAGGAATCCCTGAGTACTGCCAGGTTTGGCCCCCAAACAAAAACTAAACAAAACACAAAACACATTTTCCATTATTCATTGGGATCCAGAGTGGAAGGAGAACAAGTGATCATTTGAAATCTTAGTTCAGTCTTGCTCAATTATGGTAAGTGAACCATTCTCTGACGCTAGGTTTGATGTTATAACAACACCTTTACAACATAGCAACACCTTTACTATATAAACAGATAAGGATAAATCCTTCAGGCAATGCAGCAAAAACAAGTGCTTACTTTCGTTTTTCAACTTAGATACTGCTAAACTGCTATCCCCCAAAGACAAAAATAAACTTCTCAAACAAGGTCCATTTCCCCAAATCTTTAGACTAATTGTTCATGTTTTTCCCCCAAATTGTGTGTGTGTGTGTTGAGGGGGGGGGAGGAGACCATCAAAATTTTCCTTTTCTTTTTTCTAACTGAGATTGAATATCATCATTTTAGTGGCAATTTCCATTCTTACCCACAGCATACACTATCACAATTGCCTTTTAACTTTGTTCACCTTCCTACTTGTTATTTATCTTTTACCTACTTATCCATAGAAGTTTGGGCTAGAGCGATAGCACAGCGGTAGGGCGTTTGCCTTGCACGCAGCCAACATGGCCGACCCGAGTTCGATTCCTCCGCTCCTCTCGGAGAGCCCAGCAAGCTACCGAGAGTATCTCACCCGCACGGCAGAGCCTAGCAAGCTCCCCGTGACGGATTCGATATGCCAGACACAGTAACAACAGAGTCTCCAATGGAGACGTACTGGGCCCGTTCGAGCAAATCCATATAAGTTTATATATTCTATATATCAAGCCAACTGGAGCGATAGCACAGCGGGTAGGGCGTCTGCCTTGCACGCGGCCAACATTGGCCGACCTGAGTTCGATTCCTCCGCCCCTCTCGGAGAGCCCGGCAAGCTACCGAGAGTATTTGGTATGCCAGACACAGTAACAACAAAGTCTCCAATGGAGACGTTACTGGGCCCGCTCGAGCAAATCGACGATCAACGGGAGGGCCTTTACCTTATACCTTATACTATAAGCTGTCTAGTCACCCAAAAAAAGTTTATTAGTTACAAATCTACCTTTTCTTTGAGCACTTATATCTCTTTACAAACCATCTCTATTTACATTACTAAAACATGCTTTGATAGTTACATATTCTAATACTTCCATAGCACTTAACTTTTGTCCAACCTGAAATTTACTATGACTAATATGAAGTAGCTATTTAATTTTACCTTTTTTTCAAATAAAGGTAATTACTTAATAGCATTATTGAAAAGGCTAAAATACTCCATATTTTCAAATGCCACAATGTATTTGTTATTTATGTATTTTTCCCCACTTATGATATTTTGAAGTTATGATAAATTTATCTAAATATAACCCCATTATAAGTGAAAGAAAGTCTGTAGTTCAATTTTACTTGAATGGGCTGGAGTGATAGCACAGTGGGTAGGGCATTTGCCTTGCATGCAGCCGACCCGGGTTTGATTCCTTTGCCCCTCTCGGAGAGCCCAGCAAGCTACTCAGAGTATCCTGCCCACCCGGCAAAGCCTGACAAGGTACCCGTGATGTATTTGATATAACAAAAACAGTTTACAAGTCTCACAATAGAGACGTTACTGGTGCCCGCTTGAGCAAATCGATAAACAATGGGAGGACAGTACTACAGTGCTATGTATTTTTTACATAACTGCTGCTATAATTATAGATCCTATAGTTATTTCTCTGTGTTATTCTGATCCATTGATCAATTTGCCTATTCCTAATCAACACCACCTGGTCTCATTTCTCACTCTTGTATTTGAAGGAAACACACAGCTCTCCCTTGCTGGATTTGTTTTTTTCCTTTTCTGATAGTCCTTAGATATTTACCATCAGTTTCCTTTCTAACAGGATTTTAGCATCAGTTTGTACTTGAACTTAATTAGGTAATACCACCATTCTCAATTTTTTTACTGTTACGATTGAAATGCTTATTGATCTTCTTCCAAAGTCTCAGGATTGGAAGTAAATTAGCAGCAGTAAAGATATAATGGTGTGAACACCCTGCAAAAATACCAAGTCAAAACAAAGACTGAATATTGAAAAGTCAAAAGAAACACAGCAGTTAGCTCACCAAAAGGAGGCTGGACAAATACATTTAAGGGGGAAAAAATCGCTGGAAATGTATTTACACTGCTTAATGAAAGTTTTACTCGAAAAAGACGGGCATTAAAGTGAATAAGCCAGGATGGTAATCAGAGCCCCGAAACGAGCTCAGAGGTGCAGCAGTGTCTCACTCAGGCCAGGTCCCTCGGAAATTCCAGCCCAAGAACTAAGACTCCCCATTTAGGAATGATAACTCAGGAAATAGAGGCATTTCCATACCCCTGCCCCTCAGTTTTCCAGTAAATTTCGCATAGATTTGGCATATGTCCTCAGGTATTTCTGAGATTTTCAAGGTTTTGGTATCATTGTGAGGGGGATAGCATAACTCACTATTTTCTGCGTATCAATTTCTTTATGAGGAATTTGATGAAAGTAACTCATGGTCCTCTTTATTTAGTTCCACTGTTTTCGTTGACCCTTCTGAATTTTCAGGGCAGGAGAATCACACTGACCTCAAAAATGATGCTCTTTCAATTTCCAAACTTTATGCCCTTCATTTTTTGATCTTAAAAGATTGACTGAACAGCCAATAAAACCATGATGGACAACA